TGTTTCTGATTTTATTAATAGATATCTTATATTCTCTACAGATTTTCCGTTTACATCCCAGTAGCAGTGCAAGAAGTTGTATATTAGGATGTTCTGCTTATAATTTTTTTCTGTGAAAGTCTTTTCTTTCAATTGATCTAAAGGTTCTTTTTCATGACATTCAACTGTAGATTAATTGTGTTCTTCAAGAAGTACAGTTTACGGACCAACAACGGTTCAAACAGTTTGTGTCCCAAAGCAAAGCAAGAATGGAGGTATATGTTTTGAATTTTTAAGGGTTATCTGGGAGATACGAGAACTGAAACCATAATTTAATCCAATGGATTGTGCTCATTCCAGAATCGACTGAGAGGCGGTGGTCATGGAATTGCAGCAGCTAGGATGAATGCGAAGTTAAATGTTGCCGGGTGGATTTCTGAGCAAATGGGTGGAGTTAGGTAGACTTCATGGATTCCATTATGTTTTCTTCCTCAGGCGAATCCTGCAGTTTAGCTTGCCATGCAATTCCCTATCAGTGAACTGCAGTTGCTTAGGATTTTTTTTTCCAGTGACAGCTTTAAAATAAATACAAACTTGCAGTTATTTACTTAAAGATTAGGCTCGTTCTGATATCATGTTAAGAATGGCTTAAAAGATATTTTAATGAGTGAGATTCTGAAATTTGATCATACTCGTTCTGTTTTTTCAGTTACCTGGACTTTCTTCAATCATTGGAAGAGAAAGTCGATAATGACTGGTCAGGAATTTCATCATCTCTTGAGGAGATACGTAAATCGTTACTTTCCAGGGAAGGTTGCTTGGTAAATATGACTGCCGATGGCAAAAATCTCTCTGATACAGAGAATTTCGTTAGCAAATTCCTTGATTTGCTTCCTAGCAAATCACTTGTTGAAAGATCTAGCTGGAGTGCTCGACTTCCTTCGAACAATGAAGCGATTGTGATACCGACCCAGGTGGATAAATTGTCTCTTCTTATAGGCATTTTCTTTTTGCTAATTTACATGACTAATGAATTAACAAGCCTTCACATGTTACAGGTAAATTATGTTGGGAAAGCGGCTAACTTATATGACAAGGGTTACCAGCTTAGCGGGAGTGCTTACGTTATTTCAAACCACATCAGTAACACGTGGCTGTGGGAACGTGTTCGTGTCAGCGGTGGAGCATATGGAGGTTTCTGTAACTTCGATACTCATTCTGGTAAGCACAAGGTGCTGAATTTTCGGGCAAGACTCTTACATCCCCCTTTTGGACTCTCACCTTTAGATTTTCTCATGTAGGTGTATTCACCTTCTTATCGTACCGAGACCCCAACTTACTGAAAACACTCGATATATATGACGGAACTGGTGATTTTCTCCGTAAATTGGAAGTGGACGACGATACTCTCACGAAAGCAATTATTGGGACCATTAGTGATGTTGATGCCTACCAGCTGCCAGATGCTAAAGGTTATAGTAGGTATGGAATCGGTTGTTTTCTCTTCATTTCCGTTTTTGTTTCTCAGTCGAAAACACGATTGTCGCTGCTGCTGGTCTTTCTATCCATCAAGCATCATTACGCCTCGTATTGACTTTACTGTGTTCTGCTAGTTTGCTACGATATTTATTGGGGGTCACGGAAGAAGAAAGGCAAAGGAGACGCGAAGAGATATTATCGACAAGGTATGATAATAACTGCTAGTCGAACATACCGAAAAGTTGCATTCGATATGGTTTCGAAGCATATATAATGAATTCGGCTTTTTCCTTTGAGGACTAAAGTGAAATGAAATGAACTATATTATCATTCGGTACGGTTTAGGATTTCGATTTTTAAACCGTTTTTTTCGCCTATCATACTTTTGTTGCATTTCCCCCCACAGTTTGAAGGATTTCAAGGACTTCGCCGACGCCATTGACTCTGTCAAAGCTAACGGGGTCGCTGTTGCTGTGGCGTCACCCGACGACGTCGAAACTGCTAACAAGGAGCGCTCGAACTTTTTCCAAGTGAAGAGAGCCCTCTAAAGAAAACACAGTGAGAATTGCTTTTGTTATACTCTGAATTAGATAGAAAGGAAGTCCTGCGGCATGAACTGTTTTTATTACCAAGGTGGACTTGGCTATTTCATGAAGGTTAAAAAGGTTTAATTATGCCCTTAGTCACGGTACTCTTTAGATTCTTGGGATTTAGTCCCTTTGCTCTTATTTATAGGATTAAATTCCCCTCTACCTGTCTGATTTGCAAACTATAGTTCAAATGATAACATGGTTGATGGTTTTCCGATAAATTTAAATTTACAATATTTTAATATCCGAAGGTATGATTTAATAATTAAGATCAATCCATGATACCAATTGAAGTTTTAACGAAAATTATTTAATTTGCATTTGGAGTAACGTTACATTTGGTATTTATTTATTTTTGGATAAACTACATCAGACACTATCGAACTTATGAGTTGTATTGTTTACAGTACTGAACTTTTGATTTTGTGAATTACATCATTGATTTGATTTTCGTTTCAATTATATCACTGAATCGTTAAATCGTTAATGGCACGATGACTTGTTTGACAGCTACCGATGTAGACAACTTGCCAAAACGACGTCGTTTTGATCCAATTGTTAACGATTTAAAAACTAGTGGTATAATTGTATCAAAAATCAAAGTTTAGTGTTATAATTGACAACATTGAAAGTTCAGTGGTATAAGCGATACATCGCCTAAAGTTTAGTGGTATCTAGTGTAGTTTACCCTTTATTTTTTGATAAAATATCTAATGTGATAGTTGTATTTTTAAAATGTTTAATTGATACATGCACCTTTAAAATATCTATTTTGTTACATGTATTTTGACAAAGATGTTCAAAACGGTATCTATATTATGATAAAATGTCTAGTGCGATACTTGTATTTTAAAATATTTAATGTAATTTTTTTTATTTTTAAAATATTTAATATAATATACAAATTATAGGGGTCTATTCTGTAAAAAGAACCAATAATCCATAATAATAATAATATGTTATTAATATAAACAAAGTTTGAGGTGATATATATCTTTTTCGATGAGCCGAATTGATAGATTATGAAGAGATCCAATATGCAAATGAAAATGAGACTAATTTAGATGTGTTGAATACATATTGGTTGATTTAGCATTTATTAAGTGTCTTAACTTCATGTATTACAATAATACATGGAATAATAGCTTGAGTATTATATTAAATATTTTAGGGTAAAAAATATACAAATGGTCCCTCGACTATAGGTATTGTTTTATTAAGTCTCCCGATTGTTAAAAGTTACATAATAGTCCTTTGACTCTAGAGTGTTGTTTTATTGAGTCCCCCGGCTGTTAAAAGTTACAAAATGGTCACTCGACTATTCATTATGTTCCAAATTTGTCATTTTTCGTTAAAAATATGATGACAATCTAAGCTGAACGTTAACTTATCGACTATGATATGATTAAATCCGATCTTAGAATCTCAAACGACTATCATATCTCAGTCATCATGTCAACATCTAACTCATACAATAATTATTTTTTTAACAAAAAAAATATGAGTTTAGAACATAATGAATACTCGGATGACTGTTCTATAACTTTTAATAGTCGATGAACTCAACGAAGTAACAATCTATAGTCGAATGACCATTTTATAACTTTTAATAGTCGAGGGATTTAATAAAGTAGTACCCTATATTTGGGGGCATTTGTGTATTTTACCCTATAGTACCAAAGAGTGCATGGACCGGGGACAGAATTAAACCTATTCAAAGTCGCAAAATGTCCAACCTAATTTCATAAAATATGTGTAACCAGTTTGGACAAGAAACTGTCGAAATCAAAAATTTCCAACCAATTATTATAATAAGAAACCATGGCATGAAGAAACGTCGCAGAAAAGTAACTATTGTTTGTTGGAATATAACAAAAGAATCAGGGATGGATCGAGAGAGGGTGGGTGGGTTATCGTTCCCCTGAAAATATTAAATTAATATATACTTTAGATATTTTTTATATTTCCGGTTAATAATCTATTTTTATCATTCTAGAATTTTATAAATTAATTTGCTCCTAAAATTTTAGATATTCGCCTCCGAACATAAACTTTTACGTCCGATCCCGGAAAGACCTCATATTAAAATTGCAGAAAAGTCTTGGTCAGCTTTAAATATTGTCCATGGTGTTCCTACCTAGCAATTTCTATCCAATGCAGACACAATACATACTCAACAACTCAAGTCATCAACATAATTTCATACTCTTTTTAAAAGAAGGAATGAGACACTTGCCAACAACCTTCTACTTGGGTTTCAGCTTTTGAAAATGAATGTTACATACATAAATTAAAAATTAAGGGTCTAATTGTTTAGATTTGAAGTTTACAAGGATCTAAGAAGTGTTTAAATAAAAAAAACAAGGATATTACTTTTTTTCAATATAAGGACCTAAAAAATTGTTAAACCTAAAATTTTTGGAGGGTTTAAATTGTTTAAAAAAATATAGATGGGTAAAATTAATTGAATATTTTATGAGGAGCTGGTTTGCAAATTTCCCATTTAACCACAGTCTGCCCCCTTTGCTACGTTCATGCTATTGGCACCAAGTTTAAGGTTTGAATTATGTAACACATGTTACTTACCGGAATATATACGATTTTTTTAGAATTTTTATTAAAATTTTAAGAGATACAAAATTATGTAATTTTAATTTTAAAGGTACGAAATTCGATTATCAATAAATTTATATATATATATATAATTACACAAATAGAACAATTTTTAGTTGACAAGTTGAGAGCATCATCTTCATTGAGTATTTAAATTTAACCTTTGAAAATTCCACCTAAGTTTCACATTATATATATAATTACACAAATAGGACAATTTTCAATGATTTAGTTAACAAGTTGAGAGCACCATCTTCGTTGAGTATTTAAATTTAACCTTTGAAAATTCCACCTAAGTTCCACATTATATATATATAGGTGTAAGGACTTGCATCTTAGACAAAAGGGGCGCTAGCTATCCCACCAAAACATGTATCCTGCAGTGGAAACCATGCCGGAAAATCATCCGATTCCGACGGCCCCCGGACATCCTGGTCCGGTCTCCGCTTCGGGAATTCCCAACATTCAACCTCATCTTCATCATCAACATCGGTATATCTCTCGAATCCCCTCGAATTCTGTACAGGGACAGTGGAGTTCCGATCTTTGTCATTGCTTCGACGATCCTGTAAATTGTAAGTCCTAATCTCCTCTTTCTCCTTTTGATGCTTTTATAGTATGGGTAAAATACACAAACGGTCCCTGACTTTGTTGGGTCTCTCAACTATTAAATGTTATAAAATGGTCCTCCGACTATAGAACGTTGCTTTGTTGAGTCCCTCGACTGTTAAAAGTTACAAAATGATCACCTGACTATTCATACGTTCCAAACTCGTCATTTTTTGTTAAAAAATCGACGGTCGCCTGAGGTGGGCGTTAACATGTTGACTGAGATATGATTGTCGTTTGAAATTCTAGTATCATATTTTATTATATGTTAATCAACATGTTAACGTCCAACTCAGATTGTCGTCAATTTTTTTAACGAAAAATGATAAGTTTAGAACATATGAATAGTCGGGTGACCATTTTATAACTTTTAACAATCGGGGGACTCAACAAAGCAACGCCCTATAACCGGGAGACCATTTTGTAACTTTTAACAGCCAAAGAATTTAACAAAGCATTACCCTATAGTCGAAAGACCACTTGGGTACCATAACCTTAAAGTATTCACATCCAACACTCGTTCTTTTTCATCAATTTCTTTCAGGTGCGATTACTTGTGTATGTCCTTGCATCACTTTCGGACAGATAACCGAGATCATTAACCGCGGATCCAAATGTAAATTCTCGTTCCGATAAGAATACATATTTTTTTAATCGGTTTTTTTTTTAAATTAATATTTTTATTCTGGGGTGACAGCTTGTGTTTCAAGGGGGTTGATGTTTGGGATGCTGGGCATGGTGGGGTGTGCATGTTTCTATTCATGTTTCTATAGGTCAAAGCTAAGGGGACAATACGATTTGCCTGAGGAGCCTTGTACCGACTGCCTGGTCCACTCCTGCTGTGCCTCTTGTGCCCTCTGCCAAGAGTATAGAGAGCTCAAGAGCCGTGGCTTCGACATGGGCATCGGTAAGTAACCCTTTTTTCCTCATATTTTTATTTAACCGAACTGTGTTCAGATGATCGTTTTGGTTATTAAACTTTTAAAAATTAAGATAAATTACACATTTAGTACTTAAATTATTAGTTTTGGCCTACTTTAGTACTTAAACTTAAAAAAATCAAAACCATACTCAAAGTTTAGTTTTTGTTTCATTTCAGTATCACCGTTCAAAATTTAACGTTTATTTTTGAAAAAAAATTGAAAGTTTAGGTACTAAAACAAATCAAAACTGATAGTTTAGGTATTAATCGCGTTAAGTTTTCAACGGTGGGGGTATTAAAATGAAACAAAAACTAAATATTAGTATGATTTTGAAAAAATTGAAAGTTTAGGTACTAAAACAGATCAAATATGATACTTTAGGTGCAAAATGTATGATTTACCCAAAAATTATAAAATGATTATCTAATTTAGGGCAAACTACACATTTAGTATCTAAACTATTAATTTTGTTCTGTTACAATACTTAAACTTTAATTTTTTTCAAAAGTATATCTAATGTTTAGTTTTCATTTCATTTTAGTATTCGCCGTTAAAAATTTAAGGCGTTTATTACCTAAATTATCAATTTTAATCTATTTTAGTACCTAAACTTTCAATTTTTTTCAAAATTTAATAATTTTTTAACATGCTACTAAAATGAAACAAAAATTAAAGTTTTTAACGACGGATACTAAAATGAAACAAAAACTAAACTTAAAGTATGGTTTTGAAAATTGAAAGTTTAAGTACTAAAACGGATCAAGACTGATAGTTTAAGTACTAAACACGTAATTTACCCTTAAATTTATGAATTATTATAATATTCCTAACTAACATCCGATTAATATAGAATTCAACGTATGAAGAAATCTTGACTAAATATATATATATATATATATAACAAAGAGTCACTTTCGTACATTGACAATATATATGGGAGGCCCCCAACCTTTGGCGTAATGGAATTTTTAGTCCCCGCAAGTTTAAATCCTATTCAATTGAAGTTCTCTTCTAATGTTTGGATTTAAAATCTCAATGGATTTTTGAATTTCAAAGTTAGAAAACTTGATTTCTCCCGATGTTTGATCCTGACTCCGTTTCTATAAACGTATAATTATATTCGATTGTTTGGAAATGGTATATAATGAAGGTTGGGAAGCCAACATGGACAGACAAAAGAGAGGAGTGACAATGGCTCCAATTGTGGTTCCCGGGATGGCGAGATAACCCCACGATGTTCTGTAATTCTCTCGTTGATTGCTGCATATGTATATATGCTTTGTGTGAGCTTTGTTTAGGTATTAAAATAGTCCCAAACTGATAGTGTTGGTACTAAACGTGTAATTTACCCCTACTTCTAATGGTAGTGGCTTCTTCACCAATGGTACGAGTGTGTGCTTAATGATATTGATGAACATAGTAATTATTTTAAATCGATATCGAATTGTTTAAGTTTTATTTTAAGTCAATCTTTATATTTTTGAACTATATAGTTTAGTACAAGATTTTAATATTTTGAATTATTTTTTTAAAAAATATTTTTTTATTATTTACATAATTACATTTAAAATATGAAATAATAGTTTATTAAATAAATTTAAATATTTAAATATTTATCTACATCAAATTATATTCGAATTAGATTCAAAAGCAAATTAATTAAATCTGAACCCAAGACATCCGGCTATTACCCTAGCCAACATCAATCATCCTCAACTCCTCAAATCCGATCCCGACTTGTAAGAAAAGAAAAATACGACAATCAAATGATAGAATAAAGAGATCATAGAAAATATTCGACGAATTTTTGGTTGTCTCTTCGGGATTGGATTTGTTGTTATCTTTTTAGTTGGTCTATATTTGGTTATCTTATTGATCGGTCGTTATTTTGAATTATATGAGCGATTCTCTCATGTGCTCAAAATCACTCTAGATATGTTACGTTTAAGTTGTGATAAAGCTAATGCTTAACTTGTTAATATTTTATTATTATGTTAATGTTGATAATATTTGAGTTAATTGTATCACACGTATTTAACGTATGACCCTCATTTTAAATTGGTCCCTAAATTTTTAAATGTTCCAATTTCATCCTCAAACTATGATTATCATTATAAATTAATCATCAAACTTTTGAACATTTCAATTTCATCTCCAAACTATGACCTTCATTTTAAATTTGTACCCAAACTTTTTGAACATTCTAATTTCAACCCAAACTATACATATATACTATTTCATCCCCAAACTATACATATCACATCCCTTTCTAATAAAATCGTTAGGCCAAGTTATATTATTATTTTTTTGAAAAGAAAAAACAAATTTTAGGTTAAATTATAGTTGAAACCATACATAATGAATTTAGGGATGAAATTGCAATATTCAAAAGTTTGGGGACTAATTTAGAAAGGTTCATAGTTTAGGGAAGAAACTAGAATGTTCAAAAGTTTAAGGACTAATTTAGAATGAGAATCATAGTTTGGGGATAGTAGAATATTCAAATTTTTAAGGACTAATTTAAAATGAGAGTTATAGTTTAGGGACATATGATGCAATTAACTCATAATATACACACAGTGACATGCATGATATCTCAATGGTTAAAGTAATGATTGTTATTCCTAGAGGTCTCAGGTTCGAGCACCAAAAACTATAAGGGTATATAAACATTTATTGTCAAATATTTGAGTCTTTAATCACCATAATTATATACCCAAAACTTTCAGGGGCTAAATTGTAAACCAAAAACAAAGTTAGGGGTCAAAAGGTAGATTAACCCAATATAATATAAAATATAAAAAAATCATAGGATTTTCATGTCTTTGGAGTAAGAAATCCACGTGTTATCATAACACCAAAACCTAGCCGTCCATAAAACAAGACAAAAGCAACACTCGACGCATTATACATATGATCTTATTCTTATTTTGGATAAAGTACATTTTAAATTATTAAATTATATTCGAATGATTATTTTAATTACTAAAATTTAAATTTATAAATAATATTAAATTCACTAAAATATTATAAAATTTAGTAGTTATTTTATATTATAATTTGATAAAATTTAATTATTATTTTACAATTTTATAAAAATATAATAATTAAAATAAGTATTTAAGTATATTTTTAATGAATATAACATATTTATCTTAGGGTCAAGTAACAAATACTTTTCGATTATAGGACATCTTTTGTTGAGTCTTTTGACTATTAAAAATTAGAAAATGGTCTCTTGACTATATGATGTTACTTTATTGAGTCCCTCGACTATTAAAAGTTACAAAATGATCATCTGACTATTTATTATATTCCAAATTCATCATTTTTCGTTAAAAAATTAACGACAATCTAAGTTGGATGTTAATCTGCTGTCTGAGATATGATAGTCGTTTGAGATTCTGGAATCATATTTTATTATATCTCAGACAAAAGATTAACATCCAGCTCAGATTGTCACTAATTTTTAATAAAAAATGATGAATTTGGAACATAATGAATAATCTGGTGACTATTTTATAACTTTTAATAGTCGAGCGACTCAACAAAGTAACATCATATAGTCAAGGGATTATTTTGTAATTTTTAATAGTCGGGGGACCATTTGTATACTTTACCCTTTATCCTATTATTTTCCTGTCAGGATTGTTTGGTAAATGCATCTCCACTCCGAGATACAAAGAGAAAAGCGAAGCAAATCCTCTTATGAACAAAGCCCAGACATTTAATCTTAATGCAGAAAAAGAGTAACTTTGCTTAAAGAAAAACAAACAAAGATCATTGGGTATTTTCTATTTGTTATGTTTGTTGCTTTGTTTCATGGGGGAAATGGGATTTAAGTAGATATTGAATTGGACTGGAATGGAACTAACAGACGATTGTACACCATGGCCGATCTAAATGCTTCGGAATCCTTGGAACAAAAGGGAACTCTTATGGTGGATTCGAAGTGAATGTGCTTCAACCTTCTATGAACCAGCCAAAGAGAACCTCATCGGACGGTCCCGTGGCTATCCTTTGGGATATAGAGAACTGCCTTGTCCCGAGTGATGTCCGCCCTGAAGATGTGACTGGGAATATAAGAATGGCTTTGCGAGTGCATCCTGTAATTACGGGAGCTGTTATGATGTTTTCTGCGTATGGGGATTTTAATGCCTTCCCCAGAAGACTCAGGGAGGGCTGTCAGAGAACTGGCGTCAAACTCGTAGATCGAATGGAAGGAAGGACGATGCTGACGAGGCTATCTTGGTCGACATGTTTTTATTTTCCCTTGATAACCCTCCGCCTTCTTCTATCATGCTGATTTCGGGGGATGTTGATTTTGCACCGGCACTTCACATACTTGGTTAACATGGCTATGTAGTCATTCTCGTTATTCCAGCTGGGAGCGTTTCGTCTGCACAGTGCAGTGCTGGTAAGTTCGTTTGGGATTGGCCTAGCGTGGCTCGTGCGGAAGGCTTTGTGCCTCCTTCGAACGCCTTAATGCCTTCTCGAGGAGGGCCGGCTGATATTTCTGGGTGTTTCATGGGGTGCCATATTAGTGACAATCCAGATGGCCAAAATGAGGAAGAACTGATAATTTATAAGGGTGTTTCACAAAGCTGTTACAACTCGAGAGATTTCACAATAATATCGCGGTCTTTGTCTGAATATACAAGTAATCCTTCGGTTGCCATACCTTCTTTCCCTGCAACTTCGAGGTCGCAAAGTCTCCCATCTGGTTTGAATGAAGTAACGGGATGTCCCGGCGTTTATGATCAGAATGATGTCATGTGGGTTCAGCCCGGATACATAAATGGTTAAAAGGGACAACTGGTGAAATTGATTGAACTTTCAGGAGGATGCATGCCTCTTATCCGCGTTCCTGCCGAGTATAATAAGTTTTTCGGGAGGCCACTTTACGTGGCAGAGTCCGGGCATGCAAACTCGTTAATCTTTTCAAAAAGATGGGGGACACTCTAGAAAATGAAGGAAAATGTCATAAGAGACTTATCTACCTTAGAAACTGGAAATCGAGCCCAAGCGCACCACCTTTGGCTCTGGGGGCTGGCTCTTCTAACAAGTTTTCCGATGCGGAAAGGGTGGTAGTCGAAGAATGTGATGACAGGAATAATGGAGCAGCAAGTTATGATGTTGATGACCATAATCTCAAGCAATTTAAATACAAGTTGCAGGAAATTCTTGCGAGTTATTCCTGCCGGATTTTCTTGGGTTGCTTCGAAGAAGTATACCATCAACGCTATAAGAAGACGCTGGACTATCGGAAGCTCGGTGTGAAGAAGCAAGAGGAGTTGTTTGACAAGGTGAGGGATGTTGCAGTCTTGCGCGAAGAACCGGTAAGCAAGAGAAAGTTTCTTTGTGCAGTAGGTAGCTAGAAAATCTGACAGACTCGTACTTGTAAACTCGAATAAGATCAGACAATCGAGGTATGCTGATCAATGCTTTGTCTCTTCGATCCGTCTCTAGTTTTTTTTTCTGTGCCAAGGTTTCATAAGTGGCTGATAGAATATAGGAGGTGCAATTCATTCATGGATTGTCAACTACTAATGTGCAAACTTTGTTGTAAATTAAAATCCCAGAAATAATGAACTATATGTACATTCTTAAAGCTTGTTAACAATGTCACATATTATTTCAAATATGTATATACCATTGTCATGATGTTTTATGCAAGTGATTCCACAAACTCATTCTGCAATTCATAACACTAATGGCTGCTCCACCGCCTCGAAAAGTTTACAGTTTATGATCAAGAACGGCGGCTTAACTAGAAGAAAATTGAAGTTCTCGTTCTTATAACAACTTTTGATCTTCACTTGAGCAAGCCTGTTGTCTTGCAAACAGGACACAGGTTTTTCAGCATTAACCACTGTTTGATGCAGTTAGTGTGGAAGTCGTGCCCGCAATCGAGTGTGCCGGTATCTTCCCCATCCACGTATTCTTCCTGTCATAGTTAAAGTTCAAACCGGGTAAACAAGACGAAAACTAAACAGGTAAGATGAACAAAGATGGTTTAAAGCAGCTTATCTCTGCTTGTCTAGCATCATACCTGACAGATACAACAGGGTTCCGATTCTTGTGTGAATTCTGTCGTAATGGATGAATACTTATGTTGTTTCATCAACTTCAGAATTGTTTCCTCGTTCAGTCCGGTACTCACGTCTCCTATGTGTTCTCCTAAAGCCAGCAGTTCCTGGGGTTCCGGTTGCGATGTGATAAGAATAACCTCCAATGTTAAGTGATAAAACATTAAACATCGTTCCTTTTTACCTCGTACGACATGTTATCAACATCAAGGCGCATATCTCTGTGCCTGTCGTGTGTTTCAACCATGCCATGGTATATGAATGGATCGAACATCGTATAATCCTGAAAGGATATTACATAAAGATCTAATGTCACCCAACATCATATAATGCAGAAATGGAGCAATAAATATTCTCAGGCAACATAGAACTGATGATCAAGAAAAAAAGGAAATAGATCTCTCAACCGTATCCAGCAAAATCATTGTAGTCAACGTAGTGAAAGCGAAAAGAATTGCTACTGCAAGTTAGCAACCTATTTATGAAAATTAATGGCAACATAATCGAAAACCGAACCTCGATTTGTAAGTTCTCCCCCCTACGCATGACAGTCAAAACTTGACGAATCTGGCACATGGAGAAAGAAATAAATTTGTGAAGAGCATCAAATAGAAATATGCAAAAGAAAATAAGAATATCAACAGCAATTTATAAATAGAACCATGTCTTCTTAGAATCTATAAATGTGAAGAAACGATGCAAGTAAATAACTAGCAAAAAGTTTCCTCAGAACACAAACTTCGGATAATAGCCGGTGTCTCCCTTCGATATCAACAGCCAAAGCTCGCAATGAGTGAGGCATCCCAAGGACATTATCGCCTTGTCTCTCCAACATGAGTGCTGACCTTGGGTATGTTCGATTGTTACCTTGGCTGTTAGATCGAGATGGCACTCTTGTTTCTTGTGAGGAAGCAGAAGGACCACCTGACGATAACGACAGAAAATAACCAGTATTGTTACCAGATTCAGAATCAAATGGAGGAAACAAAGACCAAGGTGCAAATTCTGATAGGCGTTGTTGATATTGTATTGGTGGGTTCTGAGGAGGAACCCAGGAAGGAGTGGGCAAAGACGGGATGCTTGAACTATGACCAGGCCGATTAGACGATGGAACACTTCCAGAAGTGCTAATATTATTTTCAGTTGCCAAACTCCAACCTGTAGGATTTTGTGCTACATGTCTCATCTCCGTTTCCAGTTCAAACATGGGATGCTCTACATTGCTTCTCGAGATATTTCTTATGTTCGGTTCCTCCCTGTAGGCAGCAGCAGCTCTCTCGACAGGATTAGTAGATCCAGATGGGTTGCCAGCTCTTGAACTGGAAGTCCCATTCCAAGGGAAAGGATGCACATTTCTTGGCACAATAGAAACAGTCCTTGTACAAGGTTGAGACGAGGGAGAGCTAAAATTTTCAGCTATTGCTTCTGTTGATCTCAGATCTCTGGAGTCACCAAATGGGGCAGCGCTAGGGTGACTTGGAGAGCCGAAAGTAGACTGCCCAGCAACCCCAGTTGATGATAAGCTATATAGTGAACATTCTTGTCGGCTTCCTTGGCTTGCACTTCTTGCACTAGAAGAAGGAAATGCATCACTAACCACTCCTCTCATATCAAGCTGGTCAGTAGGGCTAACATTAAGTAAATTCCGAGACGGTGTCGGTAAACCCATGTGACTAGACGCATCAGTACGAGCAGGAATAGCACGCATTGCAACATTTTCAATTTGTTCAGAATAGCTTGAAGTACTAGCAGAATAAGACTGTCTGGAAGTACCTTCAAGAGCCTTCCTCTTGCAGGATAAACCCCAACTCCCCAGTGAAGAGCCAGAGCCATCATCAATTTCCTCCCCCTTGTAATTAGAGATTCCAGAAGAACTACCAACATTATAAGACACACTGGCATTAGATACCTTCTCTCTTTCTGATCCAACTGAGTTGTGCGGATTATGATCCATACCAGATCCAACACCCGACCCCCCAGCACCCCTGCGGCTAATAAATCCTTCAGTTAGATTCACACTCAGTGGGCCATGATTAGAGCTCGAACCTTCAAAATATACAGGCGCATTTCTAATCTGATTAACAATATGGCCGTTATTCAATCTCCCAGGGAAAAAGACATTTAGTGGTTCAACCCGCCTTTCTTCTGACCTTTGAGCATCACCAGCATGAGTACCATATGTAGACCAGCCATGTTCTACTTTTGTTCCATCATCATCAAGCTGGTGATTCAGCATATCCCGATTCAACTGGTTTTGCAGTCTAACTCTAGAACTTGGTTCACCAGAATTCCAGCCACTTAAGATCCGAACATCAGGAGTAAGAGTGTTTCCATGCGTTTCACCAGAAGGAACTGTATAATTGGATGACCGGGTTTCCAAAGGAGTCAACAAGTTACCCAAAGAATTTGGTTGACCGATACTAGCGTTATCAGGACTAGGTCCCTCTTCAACGTTAACAGTTTCAGGGAAGGAATTAATGGTGTCCCCTTGACGTTGCATCAGGGATGGTATCTTCCACCCAGAAATATTTCAGAGATGCTTAAACCCTTCAATTTTTCAGCTTTCCAAGGTCATGTAAGATTGATCAGTTGCATTTCGTGATTCACGTATGTCACCAAGGAAAAACTCGAGCCAGTAAACATCTTGAACCAAAAGAACAACCTACCACACTGATAGGACATGCAGGCAAGAATAACTTTACATTACACAGAGTGCAAAATGAAATCTGAATAGGTCAAGCACATCAAAACTAAGCTAAAATACTGAAAAATCGGTGTATCAAAAGAAAAACAAGATCGAGTAGAAAAACAATTATTAAACTATTACCGAATATAATGTGCTCATGATTTAACAACTTGCTTCGGCTAATAGACGAGAAAAGTTCAAAATCTTTTGGTGAAGAACATCCAAGCTTTTGCACGAAATGCTTCTAGCCTATACCAGCAGATCAAAAGGATTACAATGCTGCGACACCCAAATTCACGACGTCGATCGTTTAAGCATCAAATCATAATATCGACAAAATGTAATTTGCAGAAGCAATATCTCAGCCATCTGATATGCAAAATTAAGCATACACATCAACATAAACACACAAACTTCATCATATCGGAAAATCCATTAACTAAACGTAAACAATCCAAGCCTACTTTGTAAAGCTTTGAATTTTGGACAAAAATGTAACAAAACAATAAAACCCAATTTTTTTTTATATTTATTTAGTGAAAATAAATACAAAATTTAGCATCAAAAGATTGAATTGAAGAATGTCAATACCCAATAACCCAAATAATTTACTAATTTTTTATCCAAAAATATCGCAAATGTCTGTAGATAACACCCCAATCAACATAAAAACTGTAGCGAAGAACCCAACGTAATCAAATTAAAAAAATATATAAAATAAGCAAAATTACCTATCTTAGAGGTAAACTATATTAGATCACTTAAGCAAATATATCAAATTCAGAAAGGAAAGGGGAAAACAGCACAGATTAAGAGAAAATTACCTGGAAAATAAATCTGATTATCTGAGACGACGAAACGCAAAGCGATCAAAAACAGGGTCTTTGAGATTAACAGGGTATTAAGAGAAATAGTGGCGAAGGAATCAGATGAGCTTCTTCGATTTTTACTTATATTTTATTATTTTTTTGGGGGACTTTTCTATTGCTCTCTGTCTCCTTGTTATTTTGCTATGTGGTCTGTTTTCTCTTTTTATTTCTGATTATTAAATAAAGAGTTAATTGAATTAAATGTCCTCAAAGTATGATTCTCATTTAAATTGGTCCCTACATTTTTAACTGTTCCAATTTCATCCCTAAACTATGATTATCATTCTATACTAGTCCTTAAACTTTTGAGCATTTCAATTTCATCTCCAAACTATGACCTTCATTCTAAATTTGACCCAAACTTTTTGAACGTTCCAATTTCATCCCATACTATATGTATATACTAATCACATCCGTTGTTAATAAAATTGTTGGGCCAAGTTACATTATTATATGTTTGAAAAAAAACAAAATTTATGTTAAACTATGGTTGAAACTAATTACATATTTGGATGAATTTGGGATGGAATTTGAATATTCAAAAGCTTGGGGTTTAGAACATGATTTTAGAGGTTTGTCCTGGTGGTGTCCCTCTCCTCCATCTCCTACAGTAGTATGGTCACATCCACCTCCAAACCGAGTTAAGATTAATACTGATGCTGGACATTCCTTGGTTCTACAGAAAGCTACTTCCGGTGTGGTTATTCGAGACGAACATGACCACGTTCTAGGATCCTTCTACCAAAGTCATAGCTCTCTCTCATCGGTCTTCATGGAGGACGCACTTGCAGCTTTTCACGGGCATCTTTTTGCGAAGGGTTTGGGGTTTTCTCTTGTAATTTTAAAAAGTGAATCGGAATCCATTATCAGCAAACTCCAGTCCAACGTTGATGACTCATCGGTTATCCGGAGCACAATCTGGGACATCCTTTGCCTTTCCAAGTCGTTCGCGGAGTGCCTTTACCGTTACACACACAGAGAAAGAAATCGAGCTACACATGAAATGACGAAGGAAGGTGTTGGGTAAATCGGGTTATTTCTCATACGAACGTAGTTTCAAAATTGACCTAAAATATCAAGATCAAAACCATCAAATGTTGCACAGCGGATAAACCTGTCAAACTATTGAATATCGAAATACAATGGAAAAAACCGAATAAAAACAATAAATGAGAGAACACACCAAATTTACGAGGTTCGACGAGAATATCGTCTACTCTTCGGGTACCACACCGGATGATAACTTCACTATATCGCCAATATTACAACAAATGAAATTCTATAGAATTCCCAAAGTGGGAGAATGAAGAATACAAGAGGAAGAGAGAACTTGTTTTTGGGATGATTTTTAATGAAATACTTAAGCCTATTTATAGTTGAATTTTAAGGACTAAACTTATAAATAACCTAATATTTTATGGATTAAACATGAAAAATAAGTTGGCCACCTACCAAAAAATTTTCCAATGTGTACAAGTTAGCCACCAAATATGAAATTCTCATGTTTAAAGTTTGGCCACCAACCAAGATGAAATTTCTAATAAGTTGGCCACTAACCAAGATGAAATTTCTAACTTGTCAACTTAATTTCAAGTCAAAACTAACAGAAGGGATGTCTACGCCTCGTTTATGGGTGGAAGAAGTGTCAGTAAGTGTTCAGGCCCTGCTGGATGTCGATTGACGCTTTTCTGAGCTGTCATAGAAGAAATTCTTTCTGTTTTAGTTTGGGTTCACTATACTCTCCTTTTGGGTTCACTGGAATAAAATAAAAATTAAAATTTTTAATGATGAGATATTAAAATAAAATAAAAAATTAAATTTTACGAATGATTTAAAAAAAATAAAAGTAAAAAATTTAACAAAAACTAATAATTTAAGTACTAAATGTATAAAAATAATAATTAGAGCCTTAAAAAGATCTCGAGAAAAGCCCACTGGATCGTACAAGTGATTATAAAAACTAAAACCAAAAACAAAACGAAAATGAAGAGGGTACAAACTACAAAGAGAAACCAAGCTGAATTGGCTTTTTTACCCCACTGACACCGTTTGTTTTTATTTTTACTTTTCTAACACCGTTCTACCAATATTTCCAAAACTAGCACCCTTTCTGCTGAGTTGGCAAAGGCGCGTCCCCGGGGGCGCGCTTTACCCGGTTTTTTCGCTGAGTTGGATGCCACGTGTGAAAGGCGCGTCCCCGGGGACGCGCCTTTGCCAACTCAGCAGACACGTATTTTATTTTATAATAAATAGTTTATTTTGATTATTATTATAAATTAATAATATATTATGTAAAATGTTTCGATTATAATGTAAGAATTATCAAGTTTCGAGTATTTTTGATTTTGATTATCGATCTATTAATTTTATCAGTTAATTATTTAAATGTTATCAATCTAGTCATCTCATATCAATATTTAACGAAAATATTGATGCATAAGTTAATAAATTAGTATAATTACATATTTAATCTTCAAGACTTACATATTTTATAAAATTAGTCTTATTGAAAATTTAATTTAATAAATTTAATCCTCCAATCAGAACATGAAATGTGTCATCGTATACATAAATTTTTTAATAACTTTTAATTTGTTTAATTTAATATTTTTCTCTACTTAGAAGGTGGAATTATTATTATATTTTAAAAAAATTATAACTAATAATATTAAATATTATATTAAATAAATATATTAAATATTTATGTATTTAAAAGTTAAAAAAAATTATTTAGGTGTACATACATTGACAAATTATATAAATGCAATAACATTAAATTATTAGAAATAAAAACATTCATTTAAAAACTTTAATTACATAAGAGTTAACGGTTATATGATGATAACAGAGCTGGACATTTTTTTCTATTGTGCCCGATGTTTCTACAATGCCCACATCGTTTTTGTTCTGTTGACTTCTCCCGAATATCCATATCACAATGTATTCTAGTAGATTTTGGACGACCTGAGTCCCTCAATAGCAATGGATCTGGGACAATTGTAAGCCAAGTTTGAATCTCATTTGGGTCTCTTTCGTTTCCTATGGGCGGAAACTCAAATTCATATACCTTGAAAACTTGTGAAAGTTGGTATACGGGATCAACATAATTTTTGTAGTCCAAATGCGAATGTGAGCAAGCAGCAATGACATGAGAGCATGGATATTTGAGTGCTTGAAAGAAACCACAATCGCACCACCTCTCTTGCAGATTAACTCTGAAAGAGTTAGCTTCAATCCCTTGCAGCGGACGTGGCATTTCGGTTACACGAAACAATTCACGGGTGCGAGAAAAATTTGTAACTAACATCCCATTTGATGTAGCCATTTTTTTCTGTAAATCGGCTACTAGTCTTGGGTGGTAAATATGTCCGTTTTGCATCCAAGTAAGAGCTTGTCCACCGAGTTTTGCAAAGAGTTGACCCAAACGAAAATAAGTCGTTTTGACCAACGCCGTGACTGGTAAATGACGCGCCCCCTTTAAGGTTGAATTTATTGCTTCAGCCAAGTTTGTTGTCATATGACCATAGCGATACCCCCCGTCATATGCATTTGTCCACATTTCTTTGCTGATGTCCACAATGTACTCGCACCCCTTCTTATTTTTGCCAAACAGCTCTTGTAGCATCGACTCAAACCTTTGAGGTAAGAGTTCGTAACCTAAGTCATTAGGAATATGTAATAGTTAATATATAGTATAAATAAGTAATAAGAAATTGATAGAAAAATTGGGAAAAAGTAACATACCCATCCGCACGACTAACTGACGTTCATCGTTCTTCTTGTATTTTCCGTAATAGTTTGCAGCAATATGACGGACACAATAACGATGTTGAACATGTGGAGGTCTATACATTGTACCCATTATTTCACTATTCACGTGAAGGCGCGTTCCCGGGGGCGCGCCTTCCATTATTTCGTCAGAGAATATTATCATTGCCCTATTATGTCACTCATGTCCCTCGGGGACACTAGATATATCAGTACCTATTATTTCACTATTCACGTGAAGGCGCGTTCCGGGGGCGCGCCTTCCATTATTTCGTCAGAGAATATTATCATTGCCCTATTATGTCACTCATGTCCCTCGGGGAATAACTTAAATTTAACTTCTTTTGAATGTTCAACAAGTTAAGAATAACTTAAATTAAAACGTTATGTGAAGTTTGAATAAATTAGATAAAATGTTATTGATAAATTGAATAAATGTGAAGTGATAAGTTGATTGTGACATTGAAATTGTATGGAATGAGCATTGAAATGTGACATTGAATAAATTGCCAATTCACCCCCCTCTTGGTTGATTCCATCGATCGATGAACTCAACATAAGTTGATTTTAATGTATACGTTTTAATATATATGTTAATGATAAAATCATATGTATGGAGTCCTTTAATTTCAATTTAAGTATTGTGAACTATAATTGGAATATAACTTTTAATTTCGAATACAATTGGAATATTAAGTTGAAATTTAATGTTAAATTTCGAATACTATAATTTATATTTTAAATTTAAATTTGAATAATATTATTTTTATTTTTATTTTAAATTTCGAATAATATAATTTGTATTTTAAAAACATTTATCAAACATTTAATGTTAAATGTGAATAAAAAATAACATAAAAAAATATGTATGTAACAACCATGAAACATTTAAATAACATAACCAAATTACATAAAATTCTGAAATTTAATTATTTAAATAACATTAAATATAACTGGATCACCGATGTCGTCGTCTCGAATGAGTTCCACATGGCGGTGGTTGCCTATTTCGTGGAGGATTTCTTCGTGGAACTTGTTCTTCAGTCTCCTCATCTTCACTATCATCATCAGCAGCATTTTCTTCATTTGGTGCAGATGACGCTGAAGAGGCTGAAGGGCCTGTATAAAATAACGACCCTGGAGGAGTGCTAGTAACAATCCCACCGCTCCCCGGGAACTGTGGAAACTGTGGAAACATTGGCATCGATGTATGTGATCCAGATGAAGATTGAGGTGTCTGCGGAGAAGCACCACCAGCCAAATAAGATGCATATGAAGCATATGCTGGATCATTAAACATAGTCGTATATGCACCTCCATATGGTATAAAACCCTGCGGGCTAGGCATGTAACCTGGCGGGCTAGGCATGTAACCTGGCGGGCTAGGAATGTAACCCTGCGGGCTCGGAATGTAACCCTGCGGAGATGGCATATAAACTGGTGGGCTTGGCATATGAAGTGGAGGGCTGGGCATGTACCCCTGCGGCATCGACGAATAAGGATGTTGTGGTAGGACTGATGCAGAACCGGTAGCGCCTTCTCTCCGTCCACGCGTCGGGGGACGATGATATTGAGACGGTTGACGTCTTTCTCGGCGCCTAGGAATGTTAACCCCTCGTGCTTCCGCCGAAAGTAGAAACGGCTTCCCATTTTCATTAAACCAGTCCATATAGTTATCCGTAACCATATGACCAGTTTCAGCGTAATATTGTCGAGGGGCCAACAATGTATATCGGTTCTCCCAAAGCGCAATCCAATCTCTGTGTCTCACCACCCAGTTAACATCTTTCTTTCCCCGTCTATCTATGTTATGCACGTCGTCTAAATTTCTAGGAGCTCCAGGAATATATTGCGTACAACCATACTGACGGAGCACGCGATCAACTGGATGCCACTCAATAATAGCATAACATATAAGAGGTATAACCGATATCCATACCTCTAATGACCCTCTAAGGTGGGGTGGGATGCAAGCTTTCACTTCATCGCTCGCATAAGGTATCCACTGAAACTGAAATATAAATATACAATTCAAATAAATAAAATATTCTAATTATATCTAACATTTTAAATTAAAATATTAATAATTAAACAAATTTAAAAACATACCTCAGACCCAGCTTTCGTATCAATAAGTAAACGAATTTCCTCTAAAACAGTAGGTATACTTTTATGGTCCTTTCTTTTCATCGACCACCTATGAAATATAATATAAACTAAATATCACCCTATTTAATTGAAAATATTTAAATCAAAATT